GGCTTAAGGGTTGTGTAATATTAAGATAGCTTTTTCCTTAATAACTGGGGTTGAAGGCTTGTAATTTGAATAGTTGCCCGTATTATTAACGAACTGATTATCGGGTATTAATAATTTAAGCTCCAATTTCTGTATGTGATTTGGATGGTGTGGAGAAGTGGGTAAAGTACATTGTTTGCCCCCTGTCCTATGGACCACTAGTCCATGCCCAGGGTACCCCCAGTCCACCCAGTTATAATGAAACCTCTACTGTATTTAACTGATTATATTAAGAGAGAAGTCCATTATATCGAGGGTCCATTAGATGTGAAACCCTCCATCTAACGGATTATATGGAGAGAAAAGCTGTTATATGGAGGTTTCACCTTATGAATGGGTACAGTCCTGTCAGTGTACAGTAGGTGGTTCAGTGTTGTACTGTATTGATCACACTGCCTCATTGAACATCATACAGAGGCTTAATCTAGAGGATGCTTTCACATATAATTCACATTTATTCACTAATTATGTCGCATTGATTTCTTTAACCTTTAGGATACGAGGCATGTCTCTCTGCTGAATAGAATTATCTATGTTAGCCAAATAAAATATGAAAAGTGGCATCCAGTAGTGAAGAGGTTACTAAATTTTATGGGTACTGTAGTTTCATGTCATATATAATAATGGCTTAACATCATAGTCAAACTGCCATCATTTAAAAGCCAAATTTATAAGTCACGTCTATGGTTCTTTTCATGTTATTCAAGAATTGTTACTGTGAATAAGTTATACATAATGGTATTGTTCATAAAACTATATAAAGCCCCATTGGTATGTAAGGTTATATAGTAACCTTTCATTTTCTTTTCAGTTTGCCGATGTTTACAGTACTGAGAAGATTTTCAATTCTCTTTACGATGATTGGTGAAAAATTTTTATTGGGGTAAGTTAGAAAGCTTGATCGCCATTTGTATGTGTCATTGAATTTTAACATACATGTACTGTACTGTACTGTAATGGTCAGTGTTGATTTATGTTAACACTACAGTATATAATTGCCTATAGAGAATATACTGTACTGTAATTTACTCTATTAATTATAGTTTTTCTTATTAATACTCTTTTTTTTTTGTAGAGAATAGATTGTCTGAAGATTTGTTTTATTAATTATTGTTATTAATACTCAGTGTACTGTTATTTTCAGGGTCAACCCACCATTGAGTATACAGCTCACTGTCTATACAATGATCTTGGGGTCGATAATTGCTGCATTGTAAGTTATCCTCTCTCATTTACTGTTGTGCTTCAATACTTTTCTTAATATTTCTAATAGTAGGCTGATATATGATTAAAGAATGTAGGTACTGTACTCTTTCAGCTAGTAAAACTTGACTTAACAAAATATTCTTTAATCTAAGCCACTACTTCTTCTCTTAAGTTTTGCCACACCCTCACAGTATTACCATCTGTGTGTTTAATCTGTTCTTCCTTTATTCTTGTATACAGTACTGTCCAGGTTACCCATGTTTGTGTTGGGGGCTATGTACTGTAATGCAGAGGTAGCAGAGTCAGAAAAGGATTTCACATACAGTATATCTTAAATCAGTTAAATATGCTGAGGAAGACTGCTGAGATTAAATGCAATTAAGACCAAGATTCAAGCATTTCAAAAGAAGTGAGCAATATTGTATGTGTTTGAAGAGAGAAATTAGGATCTGCTGTGAGGGAGAATTGTTCATTAGAGATGGTAACAGGAAAGAGGAACTAAAGCGAACTGCAAACAAGATTTATTGGAGATACTCTGAGTGTATTTGTGGGCAAAGAAGAGGCTAAATGTATCATTGTATGTCCACTCACCTAAAGTCCTTGGGTGACTATTTCAAGTACTGGTGAGAAAAATCAGCAACCTTTGCTTCTCAGATCCCTTATTAAAAGCTAGAGTTGCTGCATGAGAATTGGATTGGTCTTCAGTTTTGGCCTTAGATACCTAGGTTAGAGCTTCCCTGGGTTCCAAAGCCTGAAAGATCATTGGACTTATCCATGAATAGTTCCTGACAGGCTTTACTGGTACAGGTAGTATCTTTTAAGTACAGTACTCTATGGGAATATTTGACAGTCTCTTTTGTTCAAGATGATTTGATGTATTTCAGAAATGATCTTTCCTTTGATGCTGTGGGTTACTTTTTTGTCCTCACCAATGATCTGTTCACGGCTGGTAATGGTGTATACGTCAAGAAGAAACTGGAGAGTAAGGAGCTGGGGAAGTACGGCCTTCTCTTCTACAATTCCCTTTTCATGCTCCCATTTGCCGCAATTTTCTGTTGGTTTAATGGAGATTTAGATAAGGTAAGCGATCTGTCTTTATTAATACAGTTCTGTGCATATTTTTTTAAATTTTTATGTACTATGGTAATATAATATTTTATGGCTTAATATCAAATAATCATACTCTTAATAAATTTATTGCACTTTCCTCAACAATGCTCTAAAAATAACCTGTACGTAATCAGAAATGTGAAAATATGAAGAAAAAACATAGTATAACCTCTCTTTCTTCTTTGTTTCTCTCTTCCCGTTCCATCTCTCTCTTGTGGAATGAAAGCTAAAGATAAACTGTTAGTCAAATGTGTAAAGTACATTAGGACATTGTTGTGAAGACAATCTTAGTGTCACAGAAAGATCAACATTACAGAATGTTGTTTGTGATGCTCAGGTTACATGTCCTTTAAGACCAGTGTTGCAATGGTAAGTTTGGTAATCCAGGTTTGAAAACAGCCTGATCCGAATAATTTTTTTCATTTGTTTATCCTGTTGATTTGATTGTCAGGATAGCATACTGTGCTCTGTTCACATTTCAAGGGCCTCATTACATCCCAGAATGCCAGCCTCAGTTATTTGAAAGTTATTTTAAGATATGTTAAGTTAATATTTTAATCCAGTATTGTACAGAATGTATTTCCAGTAACTTAAGTTTTATATTATTAGATACAGTATAGTCTGGGTTTACGCGGATATTTTATACGCGTTTGGTCATTTACGCGGCACCTGTCCAGACGCGCCAATTATTAGTTACGCGGTACATTCCTTGATTTATGCGGCAAGCAGCGCGGGCAAGCTGCACAAGGTCCTAGGCGCTGAGTCACCGCTGATGTCAGACTCGTGCCGATGACGTTTCGGACTGTGATTGGGCCACGTATCCTTACCACCCACGCATCCCCTCCACCCCGAGCTGTGATTGGTCTATTTAACTTTGTGTGCCCTGCCATCAGAGGGGCTAAGTCGCTGACCTTGGCTGCGTCAGTCCCATTGTCTTCCGTCTCCGCGTAAACAGTGCTCCCTCGTGCCCGGTAACCTGTTCAACAATGGCTTCCGCTGGACCCCAACCACCCCCGAGAAACCTTGAACTACCTGGCCCAAGCCGCCCGAAGCCCAAGAAGGTGCGACGAGCCTTAAGCTATGAAGTTAAGTACAAGATCATTCAGGAGTTAGAAAAAGGCACGAGGCAGGTGGATCTGGCCAGACAATATGGAGTGAACGAATCGACGATCCGCACGATCAAGAAGGATGCCAGCAAGATCAAAGAACACATGAGTCTGTAGGTGCGTCGATGGTGAAATATTGCCACAATAAGGTGCTGCTGAAGACTGAGGAACATGGCGGTCGACACTCAGGCAGTGCAGGACTATGCGAGAGAACTCTACCAATCAGTGGCAAGAAAAATGGGAGTTGCAGAGCCCAAGCCCTTCACTGCTTCCGCTGGGTGGCTTCAAGGTTTCAAACGGCGAAACAAGATCACCAATACAATATTGAGATAGTCGGAGAAAGAGCAAGTGCCGACCGGGCTGCCGCCATGAATTTTCCCCCATTTTTACAAGAAATTATGGAGGAAGGACAGTACACCGACGACCAAGTGTTCAATATGGATGAATCCGGGTTGTTTTGGAAAAAAATTGCCATCCAAGACCTTCGTAGTCAAGTCTGTGAGCAAGTGTCGGGGCCGAAAAATGCAGAAGGAGCGCATCACCGTCCAGTTCACCACAAATGCCTCCGACACTTTTAAGCTGAAGTTGTCGGTGATCTATAAAGCCCGCAAGCAGCATGCATACAAGAATATGGACATGAGCAAGTTAAATGTCCACTGGCTAACCTCAGGGAAGGCGTGGATGCTCACTGCTCTGTCCCTCTCCTGGTTTGACAACTGTTTTGTTCCTGATGTGAAAAAATTCTGCGAGCAACATAATGTTCCATTCAATATTTTGTTGCTCCTTGACAACGCACCAGGACACTCGCCCCTATTGCTGGATCGTCACCCCATGTAAAAGTGGTCTTCCTTTCCCCTAACACTACGTCGTTAATCCAGCCCATGGATCAGGAGTTGCTTTGCAACGTGAAGGCTGCTTTCTTCGCAAAGAAGTTTTGGCTCCTGAACGACTTCACCAACACCAAGGATGAATTGCAGAACCTTCTGAGTGGCACCGATAGCGAGAGCGAGGACGAGGATCCAGAACAAGATTTGGCGGACCATGAAGTGCGAGTCAAGCAGTTCTAGAAACTGTTTAACGTCAAGAAAGCTGTTGATTTCTTGGTGGAGGCATGGGGGCAGCTATCTGTGGCAACGATTCGTCACGCGTGGCGGCATGTGTTGGAGGGTATCCCAGGTGGGAGGCAGAGTCAAGCGGTGGCTGGTGAGGCTCAGTCTGTTGCTGTGGCATTGGACATTGCAAGAGAGGCTGCACAAAGTGTTAGAGCTGCAGGCTTCTCCGAGACCACCAACGACGACATCCTGGAGGTAATCAGGCAACCTGAGGTGACTGGACGAGATGTTGGAAGATGATGACGTCAGTGAGCAGCCAGGTGTTACGGCAGAAGAACAAGAGCAGAAACTAACACATGGTGATGTCAAGGAGGTCATTGAGTTTGCTGAGAAAATGAAGCTCATCCTTGTCAAAGACCCAGTCAATTATCACTATGAAGTGTCCAATAACCTTCTTTTGAAATGCGTGGAGCCCTATGTTCAGATGTATCACGACCACATCAATGCTAGCCATCAAAAAACATTACCGAGTTCTTCACCCGCAACCCACCACAGCCAGCCCAAGTCAGTGATAGTGAGGATATGGACTTTGAGGGGTCTGACAAGGGGGCCTCACTAGCCTCTGTGGTGGATAGTGATACAGGTGATACAAGTGATACAGGCGAGCGCCAATAATCTGCCCTCTGCCTCGGAACCAACCTCCCATCCCCGTGTGCCCAGCCATCTCTTCTACTAACGTAAGTGTTAAAGAACCTAATATTATTGATATTTCTTTTATATATTAATTGTGTGTGCATACCATCATAAAATTAAGATGTTATTTTTACTACAACGTACGTATTGTGTCAGAAAAAGTGGTGTCTGGGGGTCGGCCCAGTCTCTTTTTCAATTAATCCCATATGTTCTGTTATTTTGTTTACACGTTTCGCGTTATACGCGGACCTCCATGGGTTCAATTGACCTCGTAAACCCAGACTATACTGTACATTATTAAAGTACCGTATAGTATCTTAAAAACCTAAGTTAGTTATGAGTACAGTACAGTATCTTCATTTACATGTTTCAGGCACTGGCTTATGATGGCTGGAGTGATGTACTGTTTATAATGCAGTTCATTATGTCCTGTATTATGGGATTCATTCTTATGTACTCTGTGATGCTGTGTACACAATTCAACTCTGCCCTCACCACAACCATCATTGGCTGTCTGAAGAACATTTTTGTAACCTACCTTGGGATGATTATTGGCGGAGATTATGTCTTCTCCATGTATAACTTCCTGGGCCTAAACATCAGGTATGTTGACTAAAATTCTCTTTTGAATGTTCTGTAAGCTAGACATTAACTATAACTCATTAAATTGAAATTTCAAGTCCTGTGTAATATAGAGTGTTTTATAATCAGTAATTCCAGTATCTTGCATGAAGTTACAACATGAAATACCTCCCAAGAGTCACAAATTGTGTAAAGGATTAACTGATGAAGGGTGTCATCACAGGGCTCTTCCTTGGGGGAGGGAATCTCCTGATTGAATAATGCCACTCCAAACTGTTTAGTAAGTCTATGGTAAGGAGTTGCCTGACTTGCTCCCTTCCTCTCTAGGACCAAGTATAAACCTCAAGTGACCACCCTCACTATCCTTTCACCAGTCAAACTAAAACATGTCTGGTCTATTGATATTGCATTACTCTAATTCTTTTAATTAGTTTGGTCTGCCTGGTTCATATCTTGGCATCATTAATGGTTTACACTTGCTGTTTACAGGATCACAGTACAGTACTTATAATTATGACTGTTTCGTCTTATTTTTCTGAGATTTTCACTCTTTCTGCCTCATTCTGTCAAGATTTTTTTTTTTTTTTTTTAGTAATAACAACTTTGTGAGTTTTTTGTAAAGGAAATTCTGGTAAAAGTTACATCCCAATAAACTGAGTACTGTACAGTATTTATAGTTAGGTAAAATTCTCAATGACCCAACAACATGACATTTCCTGAAGTATACTTGAGCCTTTTATTATTTATTCTTCTCAACAATAAACAAAACCTTTAACTCTTTTTTTTTTTAAATTCAATTTCCTGCCAAATATTATCCTACAACAGTTGAATGATCGTCTCACAGCCAAGGGATATGCCTAGACTGTAAAACCTCCATTTAACGAACATCAACGTAACAGGTTTACAGCAGTCCGTTATATAGAGGTTTCACTGCACTGTAACTTGTATCCAAAATATACCTCTGTATGTAACTAAATCTTGTGTATATTTGTGATATATAACTAGAGAAAAATGTCATATGTGTGAATGATGTTAGAGAAGTTTGATACCAAAATGAATTCAAACTTCTTTTTTGAGCTGTGCAACCAGTATACAGTAGCTGCGAAATATACTGTCTCAGCCAATACATACTGTCTCAGCCAATACATACTGTCTCAGCCAATACATACTGTCTCAGCCAATACATACTGTCTCAGCCAATACATACTGTCTCAAGTTAGTTATAGAATTCTTTACCAAACTCCAGAACCTCTTAGGAGATGATGGAGCCATATTTCAATGTAATGAGATTTGATTTTTCTATTATTTTATGAAATTATGTAGTACAGTATTATCCCCATATAAGAATTGACATAAAGATTAACCAGAACTTGGGAAGTATTGATGTTCTTATTATGGAGGACTTCAAGAAGACATATATTCCCCAAGGCGCTGGTGAAGTTTTATGAAAAGAGACACTGTATGTGGATGATAGTTGTCTTAAGTAATACCTAGTACACTTAACTTTTGATAATACGATATCAATAATTTTATATTTTATTGTCGGTAGATTTAGTGAGATTTTGTGATTTTTTTTTCTTTCTTTCTTTTTTTAATAAGCTTAGAGGAAATATTATTGTGTTTAACTTGTTACTTTGTGTATAGTTAACTACTTGTGTATGGGATCCCCTCCGTGCTCAATAAAATCATGTTGCATTAGTCAAATAAAATATTAAAAGTGGCATCCTCGTAATGAAGGGGAGAAGCACCAGCATCAGTGACAGTGTGCTGTTTGGCTTCATTCTGTAAACATTCTCTCTGAAATTTCGTGCAGTTTATCAGCAATATCTCTGTTACACTGGCATCTTTATGTCAGGCCAGCATAAAGTGCAAGTACTGTACTGAAGCCCAATATTTAAGGTAAGTTGATTTGTTATACCCCTGTATGCTGTACTGTATAGTACTGTACAATATTCATCATTACCATACACAAAATAGTCTGGTACAGTATAGGGGGATTTATTGTGTAATATATATATATATATATATATATATATATATATATATATACAGACTCTCGCTCAATCTAACCTCTGTTAACGTAATTGATCAACTTAACTGCCTTCCATAAGGATCTTCAATTCGGTTAACGAAAAAAAATTCGCTTAACGAACTTCTTACGAACCGACCTCAACATGTTTTCGCTTGCACTGACCGGGCAACCAGCTTTAGTATCAGTCCGCTAATACATTAATCGGTTCTAGGGCTTAAATTCCTTACTATTTTTGTAAATATCAAGAAGTTTATACTATTCAATAATTTTAAAAGTTTAATATTCAATTTTTTAGTCATTTTAACAATTATTGAACAAAATTGAAGGTAAAGTGACTAGTTTAATGCGCGGCATCCAGCCTCTTAACACAGCAAACAGGCGTCAGTCTCTCTCTGTTTTCAGTGGAGGTAACATCTTGCTTGAGACTCTCTTCAACTAAACGCTTTTTTTCTGTGTTTCCAAGCAAATTATTGGTCATTTTGAAATATATTTTATATATTGACAATATATAATGCAGTGCAGCGTTGATTTAAAGAAAATAATCTTGAATTAAACCAGAGAGCTAAAATTTTATGGGTGAAATGGCACCATGGGGTGACTTCTCTTCCACCCCAATGCCTTCTCTTCTTCCTTCTCCTCCACCCCCATTCTAAATCCCATCATCATCATTATCATCCAGGAGCCTTCTACATACACACCTCAAAGTAAGTGAACTTTCTACCATTTTTGTTGAATTTAGGAAATTTTCGGTGAGCTGGAACCAATTACCCAAAAACCCATTGAAACAATGGTTTCGGTTAACGAACGACCTTCTGGAACGGATTGAGTTCGTTAACCGAGGGGCCACTGTATATATATATATATATATATATATATATATATATATATATATATATATATATATATATATATATATATATATATATATATATATATATATATATATATGTATGTATCATGTAGATCCACAATGAAAACGTGGATAAGATAAATCTTGATAAAATCACACGGGAAAAGGGAAACAACGGAGCACCTTAGCTTTCGTCTTTATTCAGGACATCTTCAGAGGCAACTGGATTACATGGACAGAGAGAGGCTTAAATATACAGGGTGACCTTATTAAACATGAGGTCAGGTCATAATGATGTTATCCACTAATCCCCACACCAACACACACGCAGAGGAGCTTAAGAGTAGGGGGCGACGTGACTAGTCAGGTCAGGTCAAAAATAAGGGACCCACTAAGTAACTCCTACATCTAGATCAAAGGTTTTCAAAGCATTTTTAACCTTGGGCCACTGACAAATAAATTTATGTAACATATTATCAGTTTTGAACTGACCATCACTAAGGTTTATTGATTTTAATTCCTTAATCAAACTAGCTTCAATGAGAGGTCTTTCTGTGACACAAGATGATTTGAATACTTGTCATACTTGTCATACTTGTCAACCCTCGGTGAGACAGGACGTGCCCCGAAGGCGCTCCTGGTTTTAGCAGCCAGGCCGAGTCTGTTTGGCCCTGCCCACTCCCCCTGCTATACCCCTACCAGCCTTACTACACCAGGATCGATTCAGCAAAACATTCTAGTGATTAGTGAACGATTGATCACGGAGCAGTGTTCCTATAGTGCACTTAAGGAACTTTCTCGGCAAAGCATTCTAGTCATCAGTGCAATAAGTGATTATCATACAGTGCTCGATAGTGCACCCCAAGGAAAAGTCAGACAGTGGGCACTTTATCGGTCACCTTTAAAGTGCCAGTGACAAGGACCACCGCGGTGTTTACATATATCGTGAAAACTGTGTCGGCAACCCCAAGCACCAGGGACAAGGACCCACGGTCTTTACGACTGACAAATATTAACAGATGTCTACCAGTGTCAGTGTCCCTCAAAGTGCCGCCAGTGACAAACACTTCCGTCCGCCCACAACAGATATCAACAGATGGCCACCAATCACTTACTCCCGACGCAGTCTGTACCATCTAAAGCGTGGGAACGGTTATCCTGATGGCAGTGTTATCGCGCGACTCAAGTCACTGAAAATATTCCACGCGCGGAGCCGTAGACAAGGCCGTCATACACATAAGCCCATTAGAACTGTAACCTCCACTAGGAAACCGGAGAAACCCACCCCTGACAGACCATACCACCACACTGAAGTTCCACGGATATGGTATGATCTCCCGTCTTTACTGCTATCCAACGTCACTTCCCTAGCTAACAAGTTCGACGAGCTGGCAACTACAGTCAGGTCAACCGCCGCGAGCATCGTTGCCATATGTGAGGCTAGGCAAATTGTGCCTGAAACGTGTCATATTGAGGGATATCAACTCTTTCATCACCTTCGTTTACAAAGACGCGGAGGGGGCGTTGCCCTCTTCTGTCAAGATGACCTACGCCCGTCACGCCTGGATGTTCAAGTCCCAGCAGATGTGGAAGCATTATGGGTACGTGTCGTGCTACGGGCCCACCCACGCAACACTGCTTCCATTATAATCTGTGTGGCATACCATCCGCCTCGATCACCCACCAGAGACACTCTTATCAATCATCTCATCACCACCTCAGACCACCTCCAGAAAGTTAGGTACCTATGCCAAGTTAGTATTATGTTGGGATTCACACACGGTCAAAATACCCTTGACCTTATCTTAACTGACTTAGCGGACCAGTACCAACCACCTCAACCAATGCCTCCTATCGGGTGTAGCACACTTATCAGTGCTCTGGTCCCCAGCTGCCACTCCCACTCAAGTACAGAGACCCTACATCAAGACCTACAGGCCGATTACTGACTCTGCAGTGCGCCTCTTCGGGCAGTGGATAGTTCACCATCCCTGGACTGAAGTACTTAGCGTGGATGACGTGGAAACCAAATGGATAAATTATACCAACACCACCACGGAAGCTCACCACCACGGAAGCTCACCACCACGGAAGCTCACCACCACTTCTTCCCCGAGAAGTCCGTCAGATCTCACCCAGCTGACTTGCCCTGGATCACACCTCGGATCAAAAGACTTATGCAACAGAGAGACAGAGCCTTTCATCTCAATGACCACATCCGCTACAGGTCCCTTCGCAACCGAGTCATCCGCGAAATACGCACTGCAAAGAAGTCCCACTACCCAACCAAATTACAACACCTGAAGCAGACCAACATCAGTCAATGGTATGGTAAGTTTAAAGAACTCTGTGGACTAAACAATAAGACACACTGTATGATATATATGGACACAAAGTAGTGCCTTCAGCTGTATATTGTTATATTACTATTATTAATTATGTATAGTAAAGTATTACAGAACATGTATTAATTCTATGTAATATTCTATTTATTGTGCACCATATTATGTATATAAATTATCACATTTATACTTTATGTATTCAGCTTGTGAATGCTGGCATCTGTATAGGCCAGCGCGTAGTAATACATAGATAGATGTAGAAGTAGTTAAGACTGAGTTCTGGTGGTGTGCCCACAGGCTTCCTGTGTCCGACTGTATCATCTCCC